TAGGAGGGGTGGGGAATCCCTGGGCAGCCCGGAGCACTCTCCAGGTGGGAGTGGCCTCCGTTGTCCCTCCCTGGGCCTGGGGTGGGGCCAGGGCGCTGCTGACACCCTGCCCACACACAGCTGCACAGTTCCGTCATTAAACTCCCCAAGCAGGCTCTCTTCCCCGCCAGACCCTGACACTGACCCCCATCTGGCAGGTACAGAAACTGAGGGGAGCCGAGTCCCTTGCCTGTGCGACACAGCCGGCCAGTGGCAGGGCCGGGACTGGACCTGGGGCCAGGCCTCTCACCCACCACCCCGCCCTGCCCCTGGAGGCCTCGGGCGGCCTGGCTGCCACCTCCTCTCAGCCTGCCCTCCCATGGTGGTCCAGCCCCAGCCCCTGGGGAGGGGGCTGGCCGAAGGCCACACAGCACCTTGGGGCTCCCGGCCCCACCCGGGGTCCCTCCCCCCGCCCCTCTCCCACGGGCCTCACGGAAATAATTAGGCCGTGGCAAAATTCCTTGAACGGGGATGCTCAGGAATCAATACTGCATGTCATTGTAAGTACTTAATCCACTCCAGATAAGCAGAATTACGCTGTACAATGAGGACATATTTCTATTAATAATGAAAAGGGCTGAGCCGCGAGCGGGGGAACACACAGGGCGCTGGCAGTTGGATCCCATTTAATTTCAGAGAGCAGAGCTGACAAAGGCCGAGGGACAAAGAAGCAGGGACGGAGAAAGGCCCGCGGCCAGAGCGCCGCACACTGCTCGTGGTGAGTCCTGCCGCCGTGGTGACCACGAGCTCCAGGTGTGACTCCTCGCCTTCTGCTGGGGCCCCCCCTGAGCCTCATTCCTCTTGGCACACGCAGAGCACCCCCCTTGACGCCCAGGGTCTCCTAATCCAAGGTGAGCACAGCACAGACGGCCCCAGGCAAGACCCACAGGGGGACCCGAGCTCCCCCCCAGGGCAGCCCCCTCCTGAGCCCCGCTCTGGGCCAGGGGCTGCAGCCAGGAGTGCTGGGAGCCTCACGCCAGTTATGAGGACGTGGCGATGACGCGATCCCCCTCATAACTGTTAGGGAGGTGTGACTGTCACTGTCACATCGAGAGAGTGGTGGGGTTAGGTGGAGCGGGTGGCATTTCTCGCCAGGCCTAGAGAGTCCCAGGGGACAGGTCACAGGCCCTGTGGGGCCGACGGAGCGGTGGGAGCACAGAGATCATGCCAGGCCCGCCCGGTGCCCCCCCTTCCTGCCCCACCACTCCTGGCCACCCTGCTGCCTGGCCTCTGTCCAGCCCGCTCCCCCCTCCTCCTCTCCCTCCCCTCTGTCCTCTGGTTCTCCCCTCTGCTCCCCCATCCCTCCCGCCTCTCTTCCCGGTTCCCCCTCTCTGTCCCTCTGTCCCCCATTTGCCCACCCAAGCCCCTGTGTCCTTCACTCTGCCCCTCCCATTCCACTCCCATCATCTCGGCTCCACTCTCTATCTCCGGCCCCAGCCGTGTTTGTGAATGTCCTTGAACTGGCCGGTGCCCCCCAAGGTAAGAACCCTGACTCTGCTCCCTCCTTCCTCACTCCCCTAATCCTCTGGGGCCAAGAAGGGACAGTTGCCCAAGGCAACCAGGAGCCCTCGTGGCTGGGGGTCGGGGGTCGGGGGAAAGGGGAAAGGGGAATCCAGGGGGAATCCTGGTGGAAGAGGCCTTTGGGGTAGGGATCTGTCACCACTCATCCTGGATTCCACCTGTTGGGGGTCTCAGGCCCTGCCTTCTAGGGATGCCCCTGGTTCCTACTGGCCCTTAGGAGCCCCCAAGAGTTATCCCAGGACCCAGATCATCGGGGCTGAGAGGGCCCACTGAGGCCAGCAGCCCCAGAACCTCTGGCTTCACAGACGGGAAACCCTCTCCTCTCCCTCTCCGCTGTCCTCTCTTTCTTCCCCTCTGTCCTCTCTGTCTTCCCATTCTGCTCTCCCTGTCCCTCCTGCTTCTCTTCCAAGTCCTCACCCAGAAGCCCAGGCCCAAAGAGACTCCGTTTCTGCAACCCCTTCCAGCCTCTATCCACACCTCCTGATCCGGCCAACCAGGAATGGAGAATGGGGCAAGGGTGGTCAGAGAGTGACACGGCAGCTTTGTGCCTCGGCTGCCCCTCTGCTGGGCAGAACCTGGACTGCAGAAGCCCCCGCTAGAACCTAGGCTCCGGCAGGGCAGGTTCCTCCGTCATCTCCACTGCTGACTGCCCAGAGCATAGAACAGCACCTAGCTCACGGCAGATGCCCCATTTCCGTGTGTTATACACATCGGTGGAGCAGGAGAGACGGGGAAGGGCACCGGGACACACCTTACGCAGAGTAGGACCACAACTGTGTCTGTGAACTCGGCCGTCCCAGCCGATAAGGACACCAGAGCAGAGGGGCCATGGCTTGTCCGAGGTGGCAGGTCAGAGCAGGCAATGGAGAAGCCAGGCATCAGGCCCCACCTGCACTCTGCCCACCCCACTCTTTCAGTCCCCCCAAAAAGCTGATTTGGTTCCTCCGGCATGGACGCGCCGTTAGGACGTCCCGAACAGAGTAAGTGCTGTTCCCCACTTCCCCCGGGAGAGAACCGAGGCTGCGGGGGACTCCAGGCAGCACAGGCATCCGCCCGCCCTGCTGGCCTGTACCAGGGACAAGACTTGGGTCCTGGGAGCTCCCAAGGATTCCTGGCACCCGCCCCGCTCACCCGCCCAGAGGGGCTGTGACACTTTTACAAGTCCTGATTTATATACTCGCCCGGCCTCGGGCCTGCCAGGGATTTATGGGTTCCTAAGTGGTCACGTCTCTGGGGGAAAGGCAACGAGTGTGAGCCGGGAAGGCGCTGCCAGCCCTCCTGGCCCCGCGGCGGCAGAGCCAACCGTGACTTGGGGACGTGTCCGCAGGGGCCCGGGCCTGGGGAGCAGCAGGATCTGGAGAAGGGCCACGGGGCAAGGAGGAGACGTCCCCCACGCGGCCCTGCACCGGGCTGGCCACGAGGAGACCATCCTGT